ATAAAAAAAATATAAAACGAGAATGCCTACCAGTGAGCTAAATAATAAAAATAATAACACAAGTAGAGTAGGCTACAAAGGTGGGTGAGGAGACGTATTACCAGCCGACGCTAATGACAAAACAAGTAAAGTCTTGTCTTGGAATCTAAAATACAAAGCGTCTTGTGCTCAAGAACCCAAAGCTCGTGCTCTTCTCAAATTCCCTCTGCTTTATTTTACTTATATTGCCTCATACTCGCCACCACCCTTACCCTCACCAACAACACTCTTATATCTTATGTTTTATAAAGCTACCACTACAAAACTAGACACTATTCTCCAGATAGCTTAGGTAACACGGTAATAGCGCTTTCCTTATGTCTCATGTCTTATGTCACTGTTGCCCTCCGAACTCTGCTCGGCCAAGACGGTTTAAGTCGTCTCGGATAAGGACACCCCTAACAACTTTTCTTTCGTATAAAGATCTTTCTGATATTAAATAAAATATTGTTCCTTTTACGAGTTGTTCCAGATGAATTCATTTCTGCAGCTACACAGGGGATTATTATTACTTATTACTATACTACTTTTTTTTTTATTGCTTACAGTGATAATAACAAAAAAATTTTTTATGAGAACATAAATAGTTGGAGATAAATTTTAAAAATAATATTGCCGTCACAGGATTAATTAGCAATTATTTAATGAAAATTTTTAGAGAAGAAATTTATAAAATTAACAAACTATTGAAAAATTTTTATTAATCTGTATTATTAAGAGAATAAGAAAAATTTTGTGTCCAGGATAGTAATATAATAAAATCGGTTTTTTTTTTTTTGTGAAATTGTCATTGCAAAGGTCTTGAGTTGAATTTGTGCCTTTTCAAGGTTTGATATCATTCTCACCGATAGTAAATTTATTATGATAAGTATTTAGGCTGTATTAAAAAATGCTCTATCTCTAGATACATAATTAAGAAATGACCTTATATCTTGTGAACTATTGACATTTTTAAAGATATAAGCTCATCCCGACATTACACTCATTGAGACCTTTCATTTGAGTACCCACATCAATTTTTCATATATTTTATATATTTATAGATTTCACAAATACCATATATATAAAATATATAAAAAATGTCATGTGGGTACTCAAATGAAAGGTCTCGATGAGTGTAACATCAAAATGAATTTATATCCTAAAAAATGTGAATAATTAAAAAATGACATTGTATCTTGTCAACTAATGATATTTTTAAAGATATAAGCCCATCCCGACATTACTCTCATCGAGACCTTTCATTTGAGTATCCACATCAATTTTTCATATATTTATATATATATATTATATATATGTAGACATGAAAAATATCTCAAAATGCATGTGGGTACTCAAATGAAAGCTCTTGATGAGTGTAACATCGGGATGAGCTTATATCTTTAATAACGTCAATAGTTAAGAAAGTAGAGTGCAATTTAACAAAAGTCATTATTTAATAAAGCAAAATTTCATTTATTTATAGTTCACAAGTCATGGCAGTCACATAGTGATTGCAAGGTTGCTCTAGTATATATTGAGTTTTTTTAATGCTTTACTAAAAAAATTATGAAATTTGAATTTTAATTAATTAATTTTAATTATAAATTAGTTATTTCTTATTTTATGGAAAATAAAAATAAAAATTCACTAATATAAGGTAAACGACCCCATTAGTGACACCTTTAACCCCTATTAGTGGCACTTTTTTTTTCAACGAAAAAATGTTTTACTTGGAATAAAAATTAAAAATTTTTTTGATCTAAAGGTCTTAAAGATTAGAAATAATACATTCATTATTGAAATTAATCATTTCATTAATTGAATAAGTATAAAAATCGAAGAAAGTGTCAGTAATGGGTTCCCCGCCACTAATGGGGTCTTTTACCCTATTTATCATTTATTTTTTTTATCAATATTCGCATTGGCAATAACAAAAAAATTGTTTATGACAATATAAATATCTTGAAATAAATTTAAAAAATAACATTGTCACAGGATTAATTAGCAATTATTTAATGAAAATATTTATGGAAGAAATTTATAGAACTAAAAAACTCCAAAAAATTAACATAAAATTGTCACTAAATAAATTTATTTTAAAAAAATCAATGAATTCTCATCAACTTCCTTAAATAATAAAAAAAAAACTACCGTGATTCCGTTCGAGAATCGAACCCGGGTCTCTCATAATAAATTATTACCACGGAATTACGTTCGCCAGCGTTACAAAAATATACCAAGACCAAGAGTCACGAAACGTTGCAATAAAAATGAGCGTAGGACGGCAAGCGCATTTATTTTATTTAAATAATACAGGTCTAAATCATAAGAAGATATTTGCCGCTTGGGATCCTGCGGTACATAACACGGTCAGGTGCGTTTTGCCCTCGTTTACCCATTTTATGTTATCTATATATTATTTTTATTTTTATTAGTGTTTTTTGTTGTTGGTCCGTGGGTTTTTTCCCTTCACCTTATTCGATACACGTTGTTCGCAGACTAGACGTCGCTTTTATGCCGCGGGCTGCAGACCGTGTGTATGATATCACGGATGAAAGAATAAACGGATAGTTTTAAATAAAAGTGATACGAGGAGAAGCGCTAAGTCAGAAGGGAGGAATAAAGGGAAAAGTTGTGTAGCAAGTGCAGTTGTGCAGTGAGTGCATGTTGTGCTGAGGGAAGATGCTCTGTACAGAAATAGACGTTTGAGGAAGCGTTTATTTTACTCACTCTCTACATATACTACACACTATTTACTGCGAATAAAGTCTACTACATCATCTTATTATACACTTGATCCGTTATGAGCACTTTAGTACTTTAATGCTTTAGAGTTACTGCCCTCTACAGTAGTTTATTTATTTTTAGAACTGGTGCCTCTTATTTTGGGAGCTTTCGCTATTATTAGCTTTTTGTTGTGACACACAAGAGTTATTTTCATTTTTTTGGTCACTCAAAAATTAAATAGAATTAGTTTAGTTAGAAAATTTTTTTTTTGCGGTGAAAATTTAATTAAAAAATAAAATAGAAAATCCAATCAAAATTATCACACTGGTTTGATTACTTTTAATTTTTCGGCGATAAAGAACCGTAGTAATTTGGCCGCGAACATCAGGATCGAAAAATGTTTGCGTGTAAAGTTTAATGTTAGTTTTAATTGCTCACAATAATTAACGGCGCTACCTCCAGTTTTTATTTCGAGCTTACGGTAATAAATTAGGATTTTTTATTTATTTATTAAAAATTTGTTTTTTATTATTATAACACTCACAGGTAGGAAAATTTATTAAGTGTTAATAAATTTATTTAGTTATAAATTATTTATTAATTTATTGAATGTAAAATTTTATGTTTTCTTATATATTTTTTAGGGAGGTAGAAAATATTTATCGTTAACAAATATTTTTAAAATTAAATGTGTCTAAGTTTTAATATTGAATTGATACTATTTGCACTATCAGATAAATTTTCTGTAAATGATATTTGAATTAAAAAATCTTTGAACAGTGTCAATTTTTATAGTAATTTTTCTAAAATTAAGAAAAATCAAAATTAAAATAATAAGAAAATTATTTCGAGGTTTTTTAAAAATTTTTTTTTGCTTAGAAAATTTATTTGAATAATTTTTTAAAATTAAACAATTTAGTTTAATTTTTTTAATCCAATTAACATTTTTCTTTAAATAAAAAAATCATTTATTTGAAGTTATAATAAAATTAATTCAAAACTAGCAACCTTGCAGACACTATGTGACTGCCGTGACTTGTAAACTATAAATAAAAAAAAATTTTGCTTTATTAAAAAATGACTTTTGTTAAATTGGACTGTACTTTCTTAACTATTGATGTTTTTAAATATATAAACTCATCCTGATGTTACACTTATCAAGAGCTTTCATTTGAGTACCCACATGCATTTTGATATATTTTTCATATATACATATATATAAAATATATAAATATATGAAAAATTGATGTGGGTACTCAAATGAAAGGTCTCAATGAGTGTAATGTCGGGATGAGCTTATATCTTTAAAAATGTCAATAGTTCACAAGATATAAGGTCATTTCTTAATTATGTATCTAGAGAAAGAGCATTTTCGAATGCAGCGTAAATATATACTTTTCCTAATAAATTGACTATCGGTGAGAATGATATGAAACCTTGAAAAGGCATAAATTTAAGTCAAGACCTTTACAATGACACTAAATTTTACTAAAAAAACTTATTTTATCATATGACTATCCTGGATACAAAATTTTTCTTATTCTCTTAATTAAATAGATTATAAAATTTTTCTATCAAAATTGTTAAGAAAAAAATAATTTTTGCTATTTTTACTTTATATTTTTTTCTGTGCAATAAAATATTTGCCAAAAAAAATGCTCTACTTATTTTGTATGAAAATTAAATAATTTTACCCTATTTTGATTAATAATAAAATTAATATTAATTAATAATATTTGACAGAAAAAAAAGTGTCAAATGTAAAAATAAAATTTAATGAATCTAAAGACAAGCAAGTGTTTAGTTGGCTTATTCGGGGATATTTTGTTGACAGGTTAATTAAAGCCTAATGAAGGTAGACAGGCGTCACACACGATGATAAAATGTAGGAAGATGAGGTCGAAAGCGGTAGAAGATATTCCTCGGAGGAAGTGTCAAGAGAAAGAGAGGTTTCAGCCTTAAAGTTTTCGAAATAAGTAACGATGTAGACTCTGGCGCCTTGGCCATCACCGTAGTATCTCCTGTCAGTGATATTGCCGGCGGGCTGTATTGCGAGCCGGTACCAGTGCGGGGAAACTCTCAAGGAAGGATAAGAGGATAAGAGGAGGATGAGAGAGTAAATAGCCGAGGGGACCTCGAGAAAAGACGTGCCGGGTTATACTACCGCTATATAACGACCAAGACCGTACATCGAGGAGGCTTCTCACTCAAAGAAGCAGAGGGTGAAGGCTCACGCAGAAAATCGCCGAGCGATGAGCGATTTACAGGCCACCCTCGAGTTCTCCCTCGAGCTTTGCAAATTCTACAATGTTGATCTCTTTCAACGCGGGTGAGTCTCCCCTTTCTTTTTCTTTTTATTCTTCTTTATTCTTTCGATTTATGTTTGTTGGTAAATATTTTACTACTTTTTGCATTTCAGCGTTTATTATTTCGGAAACATGTTTTGATACAAGCTTTTAATTAATTTTTTTTTAATCAAAGTTTAAATTTTAAATAAAATAATAAGAAATTTTTTTTTTTTTAACTATTTTGAAATAAAACTCAATTATAAAAATTCAAATTTTTATTTTACGGCGAATTAAAAATAAAAACTAATTAGATTTTAAAATAATCGAATTTTATTAAAATTTCTGGAAAAAAAAAAATTTTAATTGAAATTTAAAATTTTTTATCAATAATTTAAGGGTAATATATTAATTTTTCAACTTTAATTCATTTTAAAATATTGATTTTTAAATTCATAAATTTTTTTAAAGATTTTAAAGTTTAATTTTTGTAAATAAAATTTATTTCCGTCATTAATTTACCGAAAAGTAGAACATTTTGAAAAAAACGAACATGGATAAGTCAATTTTTCGTTTTTTAGACACTAATTAATTTTTATAGACTAAAAAACAACAAATTAACTTAAAAAAAATTATTGACTCAAAAAATTTAATGAAAAGTTTTTTATTAAAATTTTTGGAAAAAAAACTTTAAATTAAAATTTTGGGTCAATAATTTCAGGATAATATATTAATTTTTCAACTTTAATTTATTTTAAAATATTGATTTTTAATTTCATAAATTTTTTTAAAGATTTTGAAGTTTCATTTTTGTAAATAAAATTTATTATTCCGTATTATGTTATCGAAAAAGTAGAAAATTTTGAAAAAAACAAACATGGACAAGTCAATTTTTCGTTTTTTAGGCACTAATTAATTTTTATAGACTAGAAAACAAAAAATTAACTTAAGAAAAAAATTATTAACTCAAAAAGTTTTTTATTAAATCAAGATGAAAAATTCTTGAACTAAAAATTCTTTTTTACCAAATTTTACTAAAAAAATTTTCAATTTTGCTTGAAAAAAAATGAAATTTTTCAGTGATTAATAAAGCTTAAATAAAATAGAATTATTATTTTATTTATTGAATAACAAATAAATAATTTATTTATTTATTCAGGTACTATCAAATCCGAACAGCCCTCAGGGTATCACCTAAACTGCCAATTAAAGTGGAAGTCGATCAACTCCGTAATCGTGAGTGTTTCATAATTAATCAGTATAAATATACATAGTAGGATTTGAAATAATAATCCTGTTGCCAATAATCGATTTCACAATCGGTTTACGACGGAGGCTAAACATCTCATTATTAGAACACCTTTTAAATAAATACAGACTTACTAATCCTCTTCATTAGGGTGTGCCAAAATGTTACTTCCTTGATGGACCTCTTAAAATTGGAATTTCTAGTTCCGCTTTTAACAGGAGTTGTGTTTGGGCATTTCCTGACAAATTTTGGGCGTAAAGGATTTATTTAATTTTTATAGAATTTTTTATCAAGAGTTTCGTTTGGCCATTTTTGCTGGAATTTAAAAATTTCAAAATTTAGCCGAACAAAACTCCTGTTAAAAGCGGAACTCAAAATTCCAATTTTAAAAGGTCCATCAAGGAAGATACATTTTGGCACACCCTAATATATATGTATATATGAAAAATATATCAAAATGCATGTGGGTACTCAAATGAAAGCTCTGAATTAATGTAACATCGGGATGAGCTTATATTCTTAATTAAAAACGTCAAAGAGCAGTTTTTTGGACTTTTAAATATTAATTACTTTGAGAAAAAAAGTTCAATAAAATTATTTATAATTGAAGATAACCAGTTTTTTGTCTCGATTAACAATCAAAAATGAAAAAAAATACCCTTTTTAAACTCAACTCCTCACATATAATAATTATAATTCATAATATGAAATATACTTCCTTAAATTCTCATCTCCAATCAGAATTTCCATAATTGCAATGATAATAAGCCTTGATATTATATTTGCTGTTTATATTATGCTTGCTCAGATAAACGCTCGTTAGAGAACATGGACCCGCCGGGAACGAGCAAGCGTTTCCAGATCCTCTACAGGAACGAGGAAGTGACTCTAGGAACATCCGTGCTCTTCCGCGCTCACGTGCTCGTGCACAGTCACAAGATCGAAGAGGCTCTCTCCCGGACTCACTTCAATCTCGGCGTCGAGCTATGGTTCAGCGAGCCCACCCAGCCGGGGAATATGGCATGTGTGTCATCAAGGTGATTTTTCATCTGGTTTTATTTTTGAATCACTCGTTTGTTTTCTCGAGCGTGAATCTACTCTGAGATACTCCATGTTTGTTTCTGTTGTGTTTGCTCTGCAAAGTTTACTGGCATATTTATATAAAAATTTTTTATTAAAATTGAGAAAAATTATAAAAAAAAAAAAATAGTACTGGTTTTTGGTTTAAAAATTTATTTTTGAGAAAAAAAAAATTTTTTTTTGGTAAAAATTGCTCCTAAAAAATGACTAAAAATTTTATAATAAAATTATTTATTGTTTTTTTTTTTTTTTTTAATATATAATAATAATTATAAAAAATAATTTTGTTTTTTTTTTGAGCATTGATCTAAAAATGTTTTTTTTTTCTTTAGTTTAATTGCGAAAGTTGAGGTCTGGTGGATTGAAATAACTTTAATTGAGGATCGGGTTTAAGGAAAACAAGTTGTGGGTTTTTAAATTAAGAATATTGTTGTTTGTTTTATTTTTTGTTAAAGGATTGAATTTCCGGATTTTATGTAAAAGGATTCGTAATTAAAGTTGGATTTAAATTAATTAAAAAAATTATTAAGAAATTATTTTTAAAATAATTTTTTCTAGAGTTTGTTTTTGTCAGATAAAATAGAATTCAGGAATTGCAAAAAAAAAATTTTTTTGATTCATTTAAAAAGAAATTTTTGGTCGAATATAGGTCATCTTTAAAAATAATAAAGTATTTAGTTGAATTGATAAAATCTCTAAAAGAACTTTTTTTTATTTCGTTTTTTTAACTCACAAGTGAATTTATAGAATTGATTCGAATTAAATATCTCAAAGGAATAGTAAAATTTCAAAAAAAAAAATTTCTTCCATAAAAATCCATGATTTTATTTGTAAAAAATTAAATTTCCAATAAAAAAATATAAGCTTGAATTTTACCTGTCATTCCATATCCAAAATATTATTTAAAATAAAATAATAAAAAAACTACTATTTTTCTCGGAACAAATTGTAACTCAAAAAGCTGCCCTCGATACCCATAAGCGTGTCGTCTAATTTTTCGAGTGTAAATCAACATTTTTTTTATTTTTCCAAACAACAAACACAATACTGACATCTTGAGCTTCGGAATTACCAGAGCTTTTAATTGGACCAGTTTTACCTCGGGTTTTATATTCCAACTTAGTTTTTTTTTATCCATCAATGATTTTTTTCTTGTAGAAAAACTCTTGAGAGTAAACAGAAATAGAAAAATCTAAAAAAAAACTTGGGATCGGCGTTGCGGTGAAACTCTGAGCTGAGAGTCGAATTAACGAGTATAACTAATGAAAATAATTATTTGTAGAGCGTTGCAGCTGAATTTCGTACCAACAAAGGGGCTTCACTATCATTTACCGGTGCTCTTTGACTACTTTCATCTGGCAGCGGTATCCATAACGATCCACGCCTGTCTCGTCGCGCTCCATCAGCCTTTCGTTAAGTCAGTATTCTCTTCCTTACTATTTTATTCATTTATAAATTCATACTCTCTATATAAATAAATAATATGTAATAAATAACATAAATAAAATGAATAAGTAATTTACCCATCTTGTTCGTGCGCTTTATATCCAGGAAGAGCATACTTCACTATGTACAAAGCTGGTGAGTTACAGAGTAAAGGATGAAAAATTTATGTAAATATTAAATCATGATAATAAAAAATTTTACAGCGCACCTAGGAGTGGAAAACCTTGGTTACAGTTTAAACAGCCGACGGCTAATGGCGCAGACAGCACTGCCTTCTTGAACATTGTAATTATTCTATTAATTTTATTATTAAGGGTTTTCCCTTTCGTACCTACGAGAGCTTTCACGGAAAATTATTATAGAGTTCTGAATAATTTATACTATAGACTGTAGACTCTAAGTATCGAGTTTTGGTTAAAATATAGAGGTCAAAACTATGCTTTACATTAATAACAAAATGTCTCAAAGTTTAACAGTCAAAATATTGAACCATGAATTATCCAGTTAAAGAGTTTTATAATGTAGACTATGTTTATATATGACCTGATATGGTTTGATATGTCTATATATAATTTTTCATATGTTTTGATATTTTTTTTCAAAAGTCTAATATAAAAAATCGGTTATATAAAACCGTATATGATCATTAGGGTGGCGCAAAAAAACCGACTAATTTTTTTTTGAGTCTCGAGTGAAAAAATGTTAGTTTTTGATGTTTTAAGAGCTCTCTCCAAAAGACAGCTTAAAAAAAAATTTTTAAGAGGTCGCTCCAAATTTTTTTAAATTTCAAAAATCGTCAAAAATCGATTTTTATTTTTTTTTTTATTTTTTTCTCGTTATGTCATAATTTTATAGACCAAAAAAAAAGGTTTTCCTGAAAGTTTCAGTTCAAAATTTGAATTTTAAAAGGCCGCTAATAATTTTTTTCTAATTTATTAGTGACTATTTAATTGGATTAGCATTTTTTGACTCTGAAATTTAAAAAAAAAATTATGAGCGACTTTTCAAAATTTAAATTTTGAATTGAAACTTTCAGGAACTTATTTTTTTTGGTCTATAAAATTTTAAAAAAAAAAAGGTTTTCCTGAAAGTTTCAGTTCAAAATTTGAATTTTAAAAGGCCGCTAATAATTTTTTTCTAATTTATTAGTGACTATTTAATTGGATTAGCATTTTTTGACTCTGAAATTTAAAAAAAAATTATGAGCGACTTTTCAAAATTTAAATTTTGAATTGAAACTTTCAGGAACTTATTTTTTTTTGCTCTGTAAAATTATGACGTAACGAGAAAAAAAATAAAAAAAAAAATTCGATTTTTGACGATTTTTGAAATTTTGAAAAATTTGGAGTGACCTCTTAAAAATTTTTTATTGAGCTGTTCTTTGGAGAGAGCTCTTAAAACATCAAAAACTGACATTTTTTTCACTCGAGACTAAAAAAAAAAATAGTCGGTTTTTTTGCGCCACCCTAATGATCATATAAAGTCATATATGGCTGATATGTCTTTATATGGCTTGATCTGTCCATAAACAGCCTATTATGGCAATATGTATTCATATATGGCTTAATATATCCTTATATGAGTCTTTATATGGACTCTGTTATGCAATAGTGTGTTAAGTACATAGGATTTCCATAGCACTTAACACATTAATGCAAAACAGTGTCCATATATGGGTTTATATGTTCTGATATGGCTTGATATATATCTTTTTATGACTTAACATATTTATATAATGCTTGATATGGCCATATATGACTTGACATGTCCATGTAAGACTTGATATGGTCATATATACCCATTTTTTGGTATGTCCTAATTTGCATATATGATCACATATAGCTTCATATGATTTTATATGATCATATATGATGACTTGATACAAATAATTTTTTAATTCTTTTAATAATAGTGATTTGGTAAATATTAATATTTAAAATTGAAAAAGGAAACAACGACAAGATGCGTAGGATCAACAGCGCGAACCCAGCACGCGCGAGCGACGCAAAGAGAAGTCACGCGAATATTATTAACAGCTCGAGAAAACTTGCTGAATGACATCGCAGACTTGGCAAGGCTCTTGCCGTCTCGAGAGCAGCGGGACCTGGAAATCGCCGAGCGTAAGCACAAGGAGGCGAGCAAGATGATTGATACCGACGAGGTTGACATCGCACAACTTTGCGCACAAAATATCGTCCTCTGGCACATTTTCCTCGAGGCTTTCTCCAAGCAGGAGCCTGTGCACCAGCATTTAGCTCGGATTCACCATCAACTACGCGTTAGTTTCTCATTTTTATTATTATTATAATCAGCTTCTAAAATTCCAAGAAGATTAAAACAGATTTTCTTATTAAAAAACAGTTTCGAGAATTTTTCAAGTGAAGAATTTAATTTACATTTGAAATGAATTTTTTTTTTAATTCAAATTTATCAAGTTTTTATTTTCTTTATTAATAATTTTTTTTTTAAACGAAGGAAAGAAGTTAATTTTTTTTAACTTGTAAATAAATTGTTGATCTTAAAAATCATTTTAAATAATTTCTTTGAAATAAATTTGTAGTTTTTTATCAAAAAAAAATTTTTATTAATCATCAAATTCTTAAAAAAAATTTTCTGAATTTTTTATTTCAAATAAAATGAATTTTTTAATTAATAAATTTATAAAAATAGTGAAATTTTTTAATTCAAAAGTTTTTCTTTAAATCAAATTAATTTTTTAATTAACAAATTTATAAAAATAGTGAAATTTTTTAATTAAAAAGTTTTTCCTTAAATCAAATCAATTTTAAAAATTTAACTTGTACATTATGACATATAAAATGAAGAGATCCTCTGTAACAAGGTTGAATATTGAATGACATTAAAATTGACAGGTTAAACGGTTCTCTGAAGGGTTCTTTGTTCTCGAGAATCCACGAACATCAGCAGCAGGCTGCTACGACGCAAATTATCAATCTTATCAAGCGGTGAGTGAGGCAGCCCGGAGATCGCGTTACTTGGCGGCTCTTCCACCCTTACCGGTTCACTGTCCTGAGCTCGATGGCGATCTCAATTCCCTTCCTTTGATATTCGAGGACAATTACGCTGACATGCAACAGAGGCATCGTAACAGCGGTAAATATTTTGCGCAATAAAATGAAAAAAAAAATAACTTTACTCTAAAGAATAAAAATATAAAGGAAGAATTTTATTTATCTAATCAGAAATTTATTTTAAAAAGTTCCCAGCATAGAAGACTGCAGCTGCGGGATATCCGCGATCCTGGAGTCCCGCGGGTCCAGCGTCTGGTCACCCCGCAGCGAAGGAGCCGCCCAGGACATCGCCTCGATCCAGGCCAGGCTGTCTCTAGGACCAACCTCGCTCCCAGCTCGTCACAGCAAGTCCTTGGACCAGTTGGGCCCTGAAATAGCCAGCCCGCAGCCCAGAACTTCGCCGAAAACGCTTCCGAGGTCCGCATCGACACAACTATTCCCTCGGCAGCGGTCAGGAGGACGCAATCCAACTCCGCCGACCTCAGTGCCCTCCAAGGGGAGGTCTCGCTCCCAGGCTCCGCTTCACACTGCTCGGAGCACAACGCTCTTTCCTCCCTCGGGTCAGCAGCAGGCTTTCTCCGCGCCGAACCCGTCTCTAGGTTTATTAATTTGCGCTTTCTTGAGTTTCTGCTTCTCTGCTATCTTTTTATTGATCCCTCTCTTTAATTTTACAAAATTGTTTGGTTACTCGTCTCGATATTTCTTGGACAATTGGTGTCCAATTTTTGAGAAATTATTTCAAATTTTTAATGCTTTTTGGTAAGTTAAAAAAAAAAACTTGATTTTTATTGAAAGAAAAACGGGAAATTTTTTTAACTTTTTGGAAAATTTTTAAAAAATTAATTTGATTAAAAAAAAAATTTTTATATCAATTAATAATTAATTTTCTTTTTAAATTTTTAACTCCTCAAAAACTAATCAGTTTTTAACATAAAAAAAACCACGCCAATCGCCGTCAGCCCGGTCAAAAGAAAACCGAAGAAGTGTTTTTTCGGAATCACTTAGAAATTCCTAATTCGATTAATTTAAATGAAAATTAAGTTAACCGACATCTAAAAATTTTTACAATTATTTTTATTGAAAATTTTTATAGAAAAAAATTTAATAAAAAAATTCACTTATAAAAAAATTGTAAAACTTTAAGTGCAATTTTTAATAAATATTCTTTTGTTCCAATTTAATGAATAAAAAAAAATAAAAAGTTTGGAAAATCCAAAAGTGCACGACTCATAATGCTCATTAAATTATAAAATATTAAAAAAAAAAAAAAACATAAGTCGTTCAAAATTAGTTGCCGAAAAATCAGCTGTACTAGGAAGGTACTGCACAAGCGCCTCTGGTGGAATAAATGTACATAATATCTATAGATATAGATATATCACCATCCATGTTATTTTACATGGATATATATAGGTATACAGTCTTGTAGTTTTCGTATTTTATTAATTGTAATTAAACGACACTGAATTAATTAGCCATTCGCATTCGGTGACCTACAATTGTCGATTAGAATTAAAAAAAAAAAAATTTAACTCAAATAATTGATTTTTTCACAAGTTACAGTGTTTCCGGAGTTTCATGCATGACAGACAGGAATATTTTTTGACCTATTTTGATATTTTTTTCCGTTTCTATTGCACTAAATTAATTTTTAGCAAGTATGGAATTAATCTCCATTAAATTATCTCGACAATAGTATACAAAATATCTTGATTCCGTGAACTAACAAGGCTATAATACTAAAAATAGTTGCTAAAATGGGGCGAAAAAAAATTTTCGATCGTAAAGCACTCTCTGATGCTTTGCATCATGAGTCGTGCAAAAATGATAAATATCGGCTAACTTTGGTTTTATTCAATTTAAACCTCAAGATTCTTCATTAGGCTTAAAAAACTGCATCGAATGCCGGAAACCGCGTGAAAATCAAAAGTTACTGCGATTTGATAATTAAAAAAACAGTGTTTTATTAAACTTCTATTAGACTTTTGAGCTCGAGGAACTCAAAAACATAGAATAGCTTACTCTTTGAGCTCGGAGAGCTCAAAATAACACATAAATTATATTTTCGAACTCGAAAAGCTCAAAAACGTCATAAATGCAATTTTAAACGCTTAAGGAGGTCCTTTCGCCGCCAATGTAAAATAAAAAATATTAGATTATGAGTAAATTCAATTTTTTTCTAATAGTTAAGGTCCTTATTTATCTAATAGTGAGGTTTAAATTATACTTTACCGGACAAATTTTTGAAAAAATAAAATTTTTAAATGTTAGTATTTGTTCAGAGTCTTACGAGAAAGTCAGACGTTTGCAGTATTTCTCGAATTATACTATCAGTCATAGATTAGATGAAGTAAAAAAAAACTAAAAATTAGATTTTCGAAATATTCAGGTTTCTTTTTTTACAATAAAATATATCAGTTACCGAGATATTGATTGAGAAATTAATATTTAAAAATCACAAAAAATTCTCAAGCAACCTACGTTAAAATGGAGTCAAAAAATTTGGCAACGTTGCGTAGCGCGCGAACTTCAGACCATTCAATAAATTCAAACTAATTTATTTATTTACACACTGTTAAAAATTTTTGTAAAATTACAAATCAGTGTATAGCAATGCTAAATAAAATACAATTCATGTAATTTTCCAACACCCTGTCAGGAAATCTACTAAGATGTATTGTAATTTTACAATCTTCTTGTATAAACCTAACACGCATTGTAATATTACAGAACTGTTCGTCAATTTTCAAGAAAAAGCTTTTTAATTTTGCAAACATTATTTGTAATTTGATTCGGCATAATTGTATGTAAAATCATTAAAAAATATTGTAATTTATATTACAATAATCACATAAAAAATTTAAAAAGCTTTTTTTTATTTTTACAATTTTCATTGTAAAATTACACAGTGCAATGTAATGTTACCAGAAAATTTTATTTATATTACACGAATTGTAATTCTACTTCACATTTCTAATTTTAAAAATAATACTTTTCAATTTTACAAAAATGAGACTGATGTATAAAAAAACAACAATGTCCTTCATATTTATTTATACTAATTTTTAGTCTATGGTTGTTTATTTGTAATAATAAATTCGAGGCATAATTTATCTTTTATAAATTCTAATATTATGCTCAAACGATCATTTCGAAATCAATATATTTGAATGAGTATATGTTAAACTTTTTCATCAATAAACAGCATAAAATAACACAATTAATGTAAATTATAAATAAGCCCTAATGCTCAATCACCACATAGGATTAGCTTATAAGAATAATAAGATGTTGAATCACCTATCGGTCGTACGGCGTAGGGCGTTAGGTACCGGTCTGGCAAGCGCTCGGCTCGGGTTCGGTTCTTAGTTAGGGTATATATATTATTTTCACTTTAAATCAACTGAGTTGAACAAATTAGGTCTACGTTCAGAGTCTTACGAGAAAGTTAGACGTTTGCAGTATTTCTCGAATTATATTATCAGTCATGGATTAGATGAAGTAAAAAAAACCTAAAAATTAGATTTTCGAAATATTCAGGTTTCTTTTTTTGTAATAAAATATATCAGTTACCGAGATATTTATTGAGAAATTAATTTTTAAAAATCACAAAAAATTCTCAAGTAATCTACGTTAAAATGGAGTCAAAACATTTGGCAACGTTGCGTAGCGGGCGAGCTTCAGACCATTCAATAAATTCAAACTAATTTATTTATTTACACTGACTGCAAAAACTTAAACGTGTTTAAGGTTATATTGTGCAAATGAAAATGTCACGGAGCTTAGATAGATCTATCTAAGCTCCGTGGAAAATGTAAACAACCGAAGTACAGCGTTGCCAAATCACGGACAGATTACTTGCAGCTGTTTTGAAAGAGTCAAATTAATTTTTGTATTTAACTATTTTTTTTTTTTTATTTTCAAAATTTCAACGATTAATGCCTCATACTATTTATTATTTAATTTTAGGAATTTTTATGGGTTTTTTATTTTAATTTATCGTATATTGACTACTACAATTGTTTTGACTCAACTGGAGCGAAAGGATTTCCTTAAATATGAAATTAGCGGAAAGTTGCAGGGATGGCCTTTAGGGTCAACCGTTTTTCTAATTTGTTTTTTGCTAAACTAATTTTAATTTGTTAATTTTAACCGATCAATATCTCCACGGAAAAATAAATGAAAAATCATAAAAAAATTTATATCTAACTCATAGATATTTTCGCCGAAAATATAGAAAATTAATTTTGAGAAAAATTTCTGATTGTGAAAAAAAAAAAATTCCGTAGCCTGGATTCGAACCAGGGATCTCCGAGTATTCACTCACATTCCATGCTTGTAAAGGTGGACCCTAGGATCTCCGCCGTCCATCTTACGGCATAAAATAAATATTATTATTTTTAACGAAATTATTAATTTTAGTTAATTTTAATTCATTTCAATTCGTTGGAATCAAATTTAATGAATTTTAATTAATTTACAAACATGTATGGACAATGTCTCGACGCCTTACCAACTTGGCCACTACGATAGATAACAGCCAGACTTTTCAAAAGCTACTTATAAAGCTAGTCAAATATATTTGTCAAGAGGGGGTAAGCTGCGAAGTACCGCAGAAAGAGAAATCCGATTGACATATTATCTGAGAAAAAAACACTGTATAGTTTTCCACCAAGTACACGTTCAATGCTAATATTTAAAAAATTTTTGTTCTTTTAAAAAATTTTAATTATTTATTAATTAATCATAAAAAATTGTGTTTTTATGTGTAAAAAATTTATAACTACATATATATCTAACGTACAGATATTTTCGCTGAAAATGTATAAAATTAATTATGAAAAAAATTTCTAAATTTCATAAAATATTTTGTAAACGTTAAATGATTAATTAAAGGAATTAAGTTTCTATTTTTACTTCGCTTTCAATGTTAATAATTTTTTTTTTTAACATATGAATGGATATATACAACAAATATAAAAATTCATAGACAATTTAAAAAAATTAATTTAACTAAATAAAAACTAATGTTCTATGAAACTTCTATCAGACTTTTGAGCTCGAAAAGCTCAAAAACAAAATAAGTGAAATGTTAAGCGCTTAGGCAGGAATTAGCGGGAAGTTTCAAGGATGGCCTTTATAATTTTTTTTATTAATCCTTTACTTTAAATTTTGTTAAGTTATTTTTTATTAAATAAACTTACTTAAAAAATAAAAACTTCAATCAAAAAAATCATTTTTAAAATCATTTTTAAGCTTGAGTTTGTTAATTTTAAATCAATCAAAAAAAAATCAATCAATAATAATTTCAAATTAAAAAATAATTTTTAATTATTATTTTATATAAATTTTATTTCATCAAAAAAAAAATCAAACTCAAAATATTGATTCAATCAATTTTCTTCTTTTCAATTAATAATTTTTCTATTAGTCTTCTTTTTAAACCAAAAATTCAGAATTAAAAACAATAAATTTTAGAAACAAGACAAAATAATTCTCCTGAAATAAATCAACACCCATTAACATTTTTCTTGACCAATAATTTTTTTTTTCTCTTAATGTCCCTAAAAAAGACGAGACTTTTCCACTTAAATATCCTTCCATTAGTGCCGTAAATTTTTCCAGTAATCAATTTATCCTTTCCGTCCCTTCTAACAAAATTAAACCATCTCTGCTGATAAATTTTTGTAAAAACAATTTATTAAATTTCTAAAAATGAAATTCTTAATTACAAACTTGTATTTGGACACCATTGGCCTCTTGAGACGTGAAACCGAACGACCTTTATTAAATAACAATTAAGACAATTTCCTTTAATTTATCTTTAGGGTCAACGCCAGTAATGCCGCTCCCACGAGCAAAATCAACCCAAATGTTGGTCGCAAACTCCGGACACGAGTACATGCAACCCTCGACATCAATAACCTCGCTGTTAGCCGCGATGTTTCCCGAGCTGCCGCCAAACGGACACTTCCCGGGGTATCGACCTTCGAACAAGACCTGCGAGTTCGGAATTCCCTCCTGCAACTTCGACTTGAATAATAAATTCGGGTCCTTTGATAGCAATCACAAGCCGGAGTCTAACAGCACCGGGAACCAGCGGATACGACTGGAGCCCCGAAGCCATCGGCTCTTCCACCACGACAAGTCGCTAAACATCCCGAACGGAGTGTTTGATCAAACCAATTCCGGCAACATGCGATCCGCGACCCTGGATCGCGTGACCTATCGCGGGAACCACCGGAAGCAGGCTGCCAAGAGTAACACCGACAACCGGCGGTATCACACCCTCGGGAAGTCTTCCGGACACCCGGAGAGAGTAAAATCCCAGGACTTCCTTAATACTTTGAACGGAGACGCCCAGAGCCACACTTTGCTTGTTGATCCTTTGAACAAGAGGTTTAGTGGCGTTTATGGTGACGTCAATGTCGATTCCTTTTTCTACAGGACCAACGGGACCAGCGGCAAGAACTCTGACCGCCCGAAGAGACCCAAGAGTACTGAGAGGCTCTTTGATGTTGGTCGGGTCGATTACTCCCAGGATAAGGAGAATTATGAACGCGATAGATATATCAATTCACGGTAAACATTTTTATTGATATTATTATTTGTAAATATTTTTTTCAGCTTTAGAAAATGTAAAATCACTCTATAGATTTTGATAAAATTTTTATGGAAAAAAATTGAAAAATTGATACACATGTGCACATTACTCAAAAATCTCAACACTTAGAAATGACTTAGTATCTTGTGAACTATTGACATTTTTAAAAATATAAACTCATCCTGATGTTACACTCATCGAGACCTTTCATTTGAGTACCCATATCAATTTCTCATATATTTATATGTATTATATATATATATATATATATATATATGAAAAATATATCAAAATGCATGTGGGTACTCAAACGAAAGCTCTTGATGAGTGTAACATCGGGATGAGCTTATATCTTTAAAAACATTGATAGTCAAGAAAGTACAGGACATTTTAACAAATATCTTGTGAACTGTTGACATTTTTAAAGATATAAGCTCACCCCAAGATTACACTCATCAAGACCTTTCATTTGAGTACCCACATCAATTTTTATATATTTTTCATATAT